GCAGCACAGAACACCGTGGAGGCCGAACTTCAAGCGCTGAGCTTCAGTGCTCGCGAGGCAGTCATCATATCCAAGTTCATGACGGAAATCGGATTCAAGACCTTTCGATCGGTACCCATCAACAGCGACAGCACCGGAGCATTGACTGTGGCCAGCAACGCGATGTTTAGCTCTAGAACCGAGCACATCGCGCTCCGGTTCTTCTTCCTCAGGGAACTCACGAAGGGGCACCGAATCACTCTTTACCACCAGCCTAGTGCCACGATGTTGGCGGACATCCCGACGAAACAACTCCCGAAGCAGCGATTCGCCACCATCATGCAACTCATCAAGGACTGCAAGTGCTAGAAGATATTAAGAACAAGATCGCATAGTATGGTTGAATGCTTAGAACGCGTGTATTGCTAACAGGATGGATTCACTCATGTGGAAGTCGATATTCTTTGATATGGGTTGGGAATTGAGGGGTCGCAAAAATTGGCAGCGAAGTGAAGCTTTTTTTTCTTTTCTTTTTTTTTGGAACATCGGCTGCTTGCCTAATCGAGGGGTCGTGTCGAGGAAAACTGTTACAACGTAGTCAGGCACAGTTTACCATAGGTNCCAGCTGCTGGCTGAGAGTATTGACAGATCACAACCCGACGGCGGATGGAAAGAAAAAATGAAGGGAAACAAGAGCTGCTCTGGAAACAACCGTAATAATAATACTTGCAATGCAACGGTAAAATTGTCGAGGAAAACTGCTACAACGTAGTCAGACAGTCTACCATAGGTGCGACTGCGGCAACTAGCCTTCCGTGGACATAATACAGAAAGAAGAGATGGTACTTAGCAGAGAACATGAGCACAGAGTTGTAGCGGAGATAATTTGGCAGGCGAGACAACAGTAGCATGTGGACCATTATTTTATTTTTTTTGCCTTCCGACAATTGCAGATGTACGTCAGAAAACTTTCACTTAATGTCTCATACTCTGCATGAATATTAAACCAATACGAAGTACAACAACATATGTAGCACTTATTTCTACTGTCACTTACATCGTAAAAATATCTCCTCTTCAACTTGAAATAAAACCAATGACAATCCTCATGGTATCCTATATGCGTTCGTAAGCTTGCTAAAATACTACTGCGTTGATGTCCGCTTGTAAAAGCTGAAATCCAACAAATGCTTTGATCCATGCTACATCTCCGTGTTGGAAAAGCCCTTTCATCTCCGTTCATGATAACATCTTACCATATTTATTTATTTATTTTTGCCTTCCGACAATTGCAGATGTACCTCAGAAAACTTTCACTTAATGTCTCATACTCTACATGAATATTAAACCAATACGAAGTACAACAACATATGTAGGACTTATTTCTACTGTCATTTACATCGTAAAAATATCTCCTCTTCAACTTGAAATAAAACCAATGACAATCCTCATGGTATCCTATATGCGTTCGTAAGCTTGCAAAAATACTACTGCGTTGATGTCCTCTTGTAAAAGCTGAAATCCAACAAAATTTGTTGGATTTCTTAAATGCTTTGATCCATGCTACATCTCCGTGTTGGAAAAGCCCTTTCTTCTCCGTTCATGATAACATCTTACCCTATTCTACGCAAATCTGTCACACCTACTCTCATACAAGACGCCAACTTCAAACGAAAACGCGTTCTACGATGCGACTACACTCCATCCCCATATCATTGGCGTTGACTGGTTCGAGGTCGGTCTTGTTCGCCTGTTTTCGGCGTCTTGACGCCCGCGCAATGCAGCTTGTGCCTCTGCACTCGCCGAGATATGGCCACCTGTGTAGCCACCGAAACGATCTGAAGAAGTCGTTCCTTGAAGACTCCTTTCAGAGCCATCGTTCCTCCGTCCCTTCCTCCCACGGCATGTGTCGCAAGTTCATCGATGAACTCGTAACCCTCCTCTCCATGGCGGCCAAAGCTTTCCACGGCTGGCTAAGGTGGTGGTAAGTTTAAAGCTGCGTTCGTCAAAGGACACGTGTCCCGGACGAGCGTCGTGCTGTTCTCTTGTTCTAGAAATATTCCAGAAGCATGCTAGGTCAAGGTCGACCGGGACATCGTATAAAGTATGTAGCTTCGGGAAACCTTCTGGAACCTTCTGGAAGCGTTCTGGACCTAGGTTGCACTTGATACTTGTCTAGGACGTAGAAGGGCTTCCAGAATGATTCTGGAAGCATTCTAGATCTCTTTGTGTGATTGGCTTATTTGTCCGGTATTCGACGAGAGTGGTGCAGCCCTAAGCTCACCACCCCTCTCACTCTCATCCAGCACCCATCAAAGCCTGACCAGGGAGTCAGTTGATAAGAACATCTATTTTATCTGCATTTCTCTTTCCGAAGCTCGCTCGGGCCTACCGCTCTCACAGCAGTGGCACATCTGTGATAGACTGCAAAATCTACGAGCTACAGCAGCACCGCGGTGACAGCAGTGTAACCTTTGTGGTAGACTACAAAGTCTACGACCTACAGCAGCACCGCCACCTCAGCTGCCGCAGAACGCCACCTTTTGTGAGAGATAGCTGTTACGTCTACAGAAGTACACTCGTCTTCTCTCTGCTGGTACTTCTGTCTCTCCCCGCACTCTCCCCTCCCTTTATTTTTTGCCGCAAAAAAATATGGTCTAGATCTAGAGGTAGACCCAAAGGGGTTAATGAGTCTAGTACATAGATTTTACATATTGACTCGGTATGTGTTGTGCTGGCGGACACGTTTTCGGGCTACTGTCATTTGGCGGTACTTTTTGTGACGGTAGTCGGCAGTGCCCTTTTTGGCGTTAAAGACTTTGGCGGAGGCGGTAAAACAACTATATTGCGGTAGTTTTCCGGCGGCATTGCCACCTCGCTGTTGCTGTTTTGGCGGTCGGCAGGAATGAATTTTTGACGGTATCGACTTTGGCGGTGGTGATAAAAAAAAGGCGGTGTGTATTCGGCGGTAACGCCATACGGCGGCATCGTGCTGGCGGTTGGCGATATTTGCGTTTTTCGACGGTTTGACGTTGGCGGTGGCGGTAGAACCGAAACACGGCCGTGAAAAGGAGGAATACCGGTATTATTGCCAACCACGGCGGTGTTTCGATGCCGGTGAAAGACCGAGATAAAGCCTTGGATATTTTTGGGTCAAGTTCTTAACTGCTAAGATCTTACGTGGTGGC